GCTCTGGTGGACCTCTGGTGCTGGGGAGAGGGTGCTGCAGGAGACCACCCAGCTCTCATGCTGGCTCTGTACTTCCCAGTCATGTGGCACATGCAACGCTACCTCCTCCCTCTGTAGCTCAGCTTAGTCACTCATAGAAGTGCTATTGTGAGACGCAGAGGATGCGAGACAACTTGTGCATAAGATGTGACTGGGTAACAGGTCCTAGGCTGGGTTTGGTGGCTCACACCTGTAATCCCAGCATTTAGGAAGCTGATGCAGAAGGCTGATGTAGCCTGGGCTACAGATTGAGTCTGAGGCTGGCCTGGGCTACATAGGAAGACCATGTCTCAAATCTCCCCCCTCCAAAAACATAAAGCAATAAAAAGATGTTAGGTCCTAGCTGGTCACAGTCCTAGGCATCTTCCTCCAGGTACATCAGTTTACTGGGGCTCAGAGAAGGGAGGGAAATCCAACTGGAATACAGGAATTGAGGGAGAGGCATAGCAGGGGAGGCTCAGCCTGCTAAAAGGCACAGGCCCTCTGTGATATAACCATCTATCTCCAAGAAGCACAGGTTCAGAGCTGGGTGGGGCCCAAAGCTTCCTAGTCCACCTATAGGTGAAGATTAAATGCAGTCCTATTGGTCACTGGCCAGGGAGGCTCAGAACAGAGATCACTTCCTGGCAAGTGGTTGAGTCTTCCCCAAAGCACCTGGAAGGTTACCTCATCTATACTGTACCTGGCGATCAGATGAGCACAGGACCCCATTCTCCCTGACAGGGTGCAGCCAGACCTGGAACCCCACCCTGCTGCCCACCTCCCAGTAACCAACGAACCTCTGTGCTTTTCCCTCAGACTGGAGATACCTGGCTGGAGACATGGAAAGAGAGGACACCCCAAGGTGCCCAGCTCCTAGGGAGCACTGAGTTGGATTTTCCTTCTGTGCCTGTAGCACTAATTAATTTGCATACATTCTGGCTCCAGGAGTGGAGAGGTCAGAACTGCCCTGGCATGCCTGTCTCCACCTCAGCACACTGCCAGCCACCTGGTCTAGAGTTCATACTTACTGCACTCTGCATACATGAATCCCCTGCAGCCCCAAGGTGCTCGAGTCTCCCACTACTGCCTTGCCCCGGCCCTTGGACTTCCTGCTTCCTGGAACCCAGGCACAAGGCCAGGTCTAAGCAGGGACTCTCTTCTTGATGACTCCAATAGGTCAGGAAAAACTAGAAGTGCTTCAGTCTGCTGGAAAGGTGGCTGGGGAGCTGAGCCTGCATTGCACAATCCACACTCTGGTGGACACAGAAGCTGCCTCTTGAGCCAAGGGACACATGAGTCTGCAATGACTGGGCAGGGTGCACCTTCTACCTCTATACTTCAAACCTAGGTCTGTCTCTGCTGAGGCTGAGACTGGGAACTCAGGGCATGAGCCTCAGCAAGGTCTGATTACTGCTATGAGAACTTATGAGAAAGCAATCTGCCTAAGGCCACACAGTCTCTGGTTTCTAGATAAGACTGGAGCTGGGGTTGTCAGCCAACAAGAAACTGTGCCTGAGCTCACACCCTGACCCAAGAGGACACCATTTACAGTCCACTTTCCTTTGGAGGGGATAGTAATGCCCTTAACTGCAGGTAATGCATTAATACTCAAGATGTTCTCTTCCTGAACACAGGTAGGGACCAAGTAAGTCCCAACTTCTTCCAAGACCCCAGAGAGAGCCAACATCCTCAGTTACCTCCTTGGGCAAAGGAGCAAAGACAGCTAGGACCTGGGAGTCTCAATGCTTGGGGTCTACGCCCCTACCTCCCAAGAGCCCAAGGCAGGATTTCTCAGACTTGTACCACGTCTGGTGGGCTGGGAAGGCTGGAAACAGCGCAGGCTCTGTATGACTGAGGCTCTGTCTTGCTAGATTCCTCTGCCCTCTGTAGCCATTTCCCTGTTTCTGGATACAAATACTGGTTAGAAAGGGGGAATAGAGGGCCAGAAAGATGGCTCTTTGGATTAAGATGCTTGCCACCAAGCCTGATGATCTGAGTTCAGTCTCCAGGATCCAAATTATTGGAAGGAGAGAACAAATTCCTACAAGTTATCCTAGACCTCCACACACAACACCCCCTCCCATACGTGAGTACAATATAATATTTTTTTAAAAGAGGAGGTGAGGGCTGGAGAGGTGGCTTAGTGGTTAAGAGTACTGGCTGCTCTTGCAGAGGACCTGGGTTCAATAGCTAAACTCTCTGTAACTCCCGTTCCAGGGGATCTGATGCCCCCTTCTGACCTCCTCGGGCACTGCACAAGATGAGTGCACCTACCTACATGCAAGCGATACACTCATACACATAAAATAAAAATAATAAAAAAGATCTGGGGTGCTAGAGAGATGACTCAGCAGTTAAGAACACTTGCTGTTCTTCTAGAGAACCTGGGTTCGATTCCCAGCACCCACATGTTGGCTAACAATCATTTGTAACTCCACTTTCAGTGGTTCTGACACCCTCTTCTGGTCTTTGTGTGGCATTGCACGCATGTGGTGTACTTACATACATGTAGGCAAAACACTCATACACATATAGTTAAAAAATAGTAACAAATAAAAAGGGGGTGGGGCCTTCTGGGCAGGAGCATTTGAACATGAGCATTTACCCCTAAGGTCACCTTATCTTCCACTTTTGGAGGTGGCTAGCTCTGGTTACTAGCAGAGGGGTTTCAAGAGAAGGTTGAGAGGGCTGTGAGCCCTGACCTGGGTGGTCAAGTCAACAGGAACTGGCCCAGGTGTTGGCTGGGGCTGGATTTTTGCATCCCAGCTCTCAAACACTCAGAAACTTTGGCAGGGGCTTTGGAGCTGGGGGTGGAGGTGGCCTTCCAGGTGTGAGTGGCTGAGGACAGGAAGCTGTGGCCCCATTCAGCAAGCTGAATTCTCACCTTCCAAGTCAGGCCTTCAAGGATTCCTCAGGCTGCCCACCTCTCCAACCTGGGCCACCCAAAACTGGGGGGAAGGGTGGCTCCTTTCCACAGGAATGTGCTGGGATTAGGCCTTCCTGATGTCCCTAGAGGTCTGGACATGATTTCATGCTGCCCATCCTCCCCAGGGACGTTCAGCTGCCACCTATGGGTGGGTGGGGGAGCAGGGTGCTAACAGCCCATTCCTGGTGACAGGTTCCTCCTGGACTGAGACTGGAAAGGAGCACGTTCCCTTGCACCCCATGGCAGCAGGAGGCAGAATCTGCCCCGGGAAAATTAAGTAGTTTTCCAGCACCCAGGTACCCCCACCCCACCTCCCTGTGGACAGGAGGCAGCCTGTGCCTTCAGGAATTCCAAGGTGAGTTCACGGCTGCCAGACCATCAGAGCCTTGAGAATGAATTCAAAGCTGGCAGATGCATTTTGCCTTCTGTTTTGGTGGTGAAGGAGTGATCTCTCTGGCCCTGAAGGAGTTCAAGCCGAGGTCAGAGCAGCCCTCTGAAGGATGTTTTAAAATGGGGGCCTGTGGTGGGGGAGCGCTTCGGCCTGCTCCCCCTGTTGGTCCAGGGTCCACTCTGATAGCACCCTAGAGACTCGGTCAGCTACCCGCGAGTCTGCTTGGCACGTCTGCGCTCCCATGCGGACCTCGTCAATCAAGCGGCCCTGGCGCAGGACTTCTTCCGCCCGACCCAGGCCCCCGGGGAGACCCCCGCCCCAGCTACCCGGTGCCCAAGCCCGCCCCCAGCGGTGTCATTGTTCTCTGACGTCACGCTGCGGGCCCGCCCCTCGCCCCCCACCTTTCCTCCCCACCTCCCGCTCAGCGATCTGGCGACCCTGCAGCCTCCGTCGACCCTGCAGTGCAGGGCTCCCCCCGCGGCCCGGCAAGGGCTGCGCCCCCTTGCGCTCTCCCCAACTTGCCTTTGTTATTCCAGCTCCCTTCCTCGCCTTGCCTCCGACACCGCGGAGGCCTTCAAAACACGGAGCGCGGAGTCACCGCTACACCTGGATTCTGAAGCGAGCTCTGGCCCAAACCTCCCCCGCCTGTCCCGGAGGGCTCCGCGAGCGTGCGCGCGTGTCCAACCCGGACGCTGACTGGGATTAGGACTAGGGTCCCTCTAATCAGGAAGGGGGTTTTGAGGAAAGGATGTGGAAGAGTGGGAAGGGGTCGTGTGTGTATGTGAACGTGAACACGAACTGTAATGCGCAGGGGACTGCTGCTTGTTTTGTTTTTTAAGGGTACATGGGGTTGTGTACAGGGCTGTTTGTGTGTACAGTGGTATGAGTCTGTGTGCGCGGGCGTATCTGGGATGGAAAGTGTGAGTGTGTGCAAGCGTGTTGGGGGGGGCGCAGCGTGCGTGCCGTGCTTAGAGTGGGCGCAAACGTGTATGCCGTTTGTGTAGGAGTTTCTGTGTGAGTGGCAATGGACGTTAGCCAAAGGGAGTGCGCACTTGGATGCTCTCGGAGCTGGGTCTGCGGGGGGGAAACCCCGCGAGTGGGCGCACCTAATTGTGCTTCGTGAGTGCCCTCTGCCCATCACAGGGGCAGTGCCCAGTCCTAGGCAGGGAGCTGGTCAGGGCTCTCCAGGTCTCCCCTGTGTCCGTGCGCAGCGCCCCGGGCGCTCCCAGGCGTTGGGGCATGATGGCATCTCTGGACTTCTAGGGGTGTAGGGTACATGCGGAGCGCTATGCACCCCTCGCTCCCACTCAGCCTTGGAGGGAGGCGCACTTCAACCTCTCCTGACGTCACCCTAGGTGGTGACGGTGGTGGTCCCCCGACCTCGCAGGTCTTACTTAGGGCTCTAGGAACAATCCCCAAAGTCTCTAGGGTAGGCTTTGGGTATCTCTTGTTATCATCCCCAATTCGGATACCTTGACAGCGCCCGTGGCCCCAGTGCACTGGCAGAGGGGAGATGCAGGAGTGGAAACGCCTGCGGGCCGGTGATTTTGGTCTTACCAATGCTGTCCTCCCTAGGCTCAGCATTCTCTGGTCTCCAAACTTATGGGATAAAAGGGGGGAGGTGGGGGCGGAAAGGAGCAGTGAAGGGAGGGGAGAGGAAGAGGGAGGAGAGTGAACCAGCAGCTTGGGGGTGTGTGTGACGCGGAGCCCATCACTGTCGGGAAGAGAAAATCTGGAAGAGCGCTAAAACCAGGGAGCTGGGGAATAAAGAGAGGAAAAGAGGGAAAGGAATGATCGAGGCGAGGCAGAAAGGAAAGGGAAAGAAAGAGCGTAGAGAGCGAGCCAAGGCAGGCGGAGCAGTGCAGGCGGCAGTGGCGCTCCGCTCCCTCCGAAACTCTGTGCCGGCTTTTGCGGGTGGCCAGCGGCGCGGGGCCCTTTGGAAATAGAATAGCCAATGTAATCTGACACTTCAACTTGCTCGGCTCCGGGCGAGTTGATTCACTTACTCACCCCCTAACGCCGAGTTCCTTTTCACTGTCTGTGGACATTAAAAAAGCGAGCGGCGGCGGCAGGCGCCCGGGAGAGCGAGCGGCCGGCGGGGCGAGCAACGAGCGGCCGGCGGAGCGAGCGAGCAGCGCCGGCGCAGCGCGTTGACCCCAGCCCGGGCCGGCGCGGAGCAGGAGCCGGAGTCGGAGCCGAGCGGATCTCGGCGCCCTCGCTGCGCTCCTCCCGGCTCCAGCCGGCCCTACCCGGTGGCGGCGGCGGCGACGCGTCCTCCAGCGGTGGCGGCGGTGCTCGCAGTGCCCGGTAAGTTTGGGGACTGAGCCAGGCGCCCGTTAGCACCGAGTCTTTCACCCGCTGGCCGCAGATGGTCGGGGTGCTGCTCTGGGGCTTTCCCTTTAAAGGGTCAGCTGGGACTGGGCGCGAGGGACCGGCGGCGCGGGCTCAGTGCGCTACCCTCAGCGGCTCCGGGGCCGAGGCCCTGGCGACCAGCTAGCGCCCGGCTGCGCCGTGCGGCTGGAGCTGAGCGCGGGGGCGGAGGATCCTCGGGTGTGCGGGGCGCCAGTGCGGTAGTGTGCGCGCGGAGCGGTGCCCGCCTCCTACCGGCGCGCCTCCAGCCTTCGCTCGGAACACCCGGGAGCCGGGCCGGACACTGATTCGGAGGCGGGAGGGAAGGACCCGGGAAGGACTGCCTTGGGTCTCCCCTCGCCTCATTTGGGAAGATACGAAGTTGTGCGCCCGGAAGGCGCCGGATTTCAGGGTGCCCAAGGGTGGTGGTGTTAAGTTGTGCACCCGAATTTCAACGGAGAATATACACTTTTGCAAATGGGAGGTGGGGGCGCGGTTAAGTTGTTTTGAGGGCAGAATGGCCCGGGGAAACACGCCGCGCAGCTGGAGGAGGGTACCCCGAAATGAGTGTGTTGGCTGCTAGTTAGGGCTTTGCAAGCGGAATGGGGCTTTCAGGCCAACGCCTGGCCGGGGCTGCCCCAGCCTGGAGGTGAAGCGAGCCCAGAGGGGAGATGTGCCTGTGTGTGTGCGCGCGCGCGTTGCAAATGCGAAAGTAATTTCCCCGTGTTCTTTCTTCCTCTCTATCTCCGGCGGCGGTGGCCCCCGAGGAGTGGGAGGCCGGCCGGGGCGGAGGTTGAGGGGCCCGGCCGGGGCTGAAGCTAGGGTCGGGATGGTAGAGGGAGGCTTTGAAAGCTTGTTTCACATTCCTGGCGTCTGGGCTGGAGAGAAAACAGTGGGGAGCGCTGCCTCGCTGTCTGGGGCGCGGGCTGCGGGCGCGCGTCGCCCCCTGGCCGGAGACATCTGTCCAGGAAGCCGGCCGGGCTGGGAGAGGGCGCCGGGCGGAGGGCAGGCTCCCCGCCCGGGAGCGGTGGGGGCGCGGGCGAGGGGCGGCCGCCTCTCCCGGCCATTGTGCGCCAGCGGGTTTTCACGGGAGACTGCCCCGGAGCCGCCGGAGAAGGCCGGGAGTCGGCCACAGCCCCGGGTTTAAAAGACACTCCAGGAATGTAAACAACCCAGGCGGGAGGGCGAGCGGACGGGAGCGCGCCGGGACTGCCGGCTCGGCCCCCCACCCTCCTCGGGGGACAGCCGCTCGGCGGGACCACCCTGCCCTACCCCTCTACCTGCCGCAAACTTTTCCCTCCTTTGCCTTCCAGTTCCACCTCGTGCCTCCAGCCGAGAGCTGGGCGAGGGCCTCTCTATGATCCCGGGGACAAGGTGCCTGGCATCCCCGCACCCGACCCATGGAGCCTGGCGGCCAGATCCCTGCCTTGATGCCGCGAGCCCGGGCCACATCTCCCCCCGGAGCTGCGGCTTCCTGGGCCGGCAGTGCCCGAGTAACTGGGGCTTGAGCCTGCCCGCCTGGATAGCTCTCTGGCTCCCTCCCTGCCTCCCTCTCTCCCTCCCTCTCTCCTTCTCTCCCTCCTTCCCTCCCTCCCGCGGCTCCTTCCCCCCCCCCTCCTCCCCGCTCTCCCCCTTCCCCTCTCCCCTGACTGCTTTTCCAATGCCCTGACATGAGGGAGGAAGATTTAACTTGGCAGCCCAAACAAATGTTCTCTCTCAGATCTCCAAGAAGCTGGAGGCAGAGCTGGCGGGGTGAGGGCACTGCTCGGCCAGCCATTACCCCCTCTGCGCTGCCAGGGACATTCGAAGCCCCCTGGGTGAACAGTCCCAGGCATGGCTCAACCTCAGAGATTTAGAAGGGCGGTCGGGGGCAGCGCCTATGGAAACCCCTGGCTTGGCCGCTGCATGGAGTCAGGGGCTGGAGCGGCCTCCTGGTGCCAAGCGTTTTCGGAAGGGTTTTCTTGAGCAACAGTTTGTCTCTGCTACAACCTGGGAAGTAGGCCTGGTAGACCAGAGGGTTAACTAATGCAGTCTCCTCCTCCCTCCCTCGTGGGTGTGAGGACAGGCTGGTTACACAGGGCAGGGCAGGAGGCCAGAGGCTGTTCCCAGAGGTGCCTGGGTTTGCTTATTATTGTTTTTTTGAAGGTACAGATAAAGGGATGGTAACTGGGGCTGGAGAATCCGGCTGCTGGTGAATTCCAGCCTGCCTCCCTGTGTTTGCATGGTGGCGGGAATGGAAAAGTTGCCTGTGAGCAATTCGGGAAGTTTAGATGAGGGAGCAAGTCTATGGCCTTTCTTACCCCGGCTGCTTTTTGAGGGGGTCCAAAGCAGGGGGAATTCCTAGCCCCTTGCTTTCAGCTCCTTGGCCCCTGTGCGGAGGCGAGAGGGTTTGTGAATACCGGGGAGCTTTGTGCTGACCTTTCCCTCTTCAAGTTGAGGATGTCGAAACACCAGCATCAAACAAAAGGCACATTGAAAGAGCCCTGTCTGCCTAGGAGCGCGTGTGGCTTTGGGGCCAGGAGAGCGTTTGGAGGGAGCTGGTGTTTTTCTCTTGAGTTTTATGATTTTGGTCGACTTTTGTTTTTCCCGAAAAGACAGAGCATCTCCTGGTCCCGAGTCACACCGTTCTGAGATGCAGTTTTCACATATGAATCAGAAGTTGAGACTTGGGAGCTTGGTGGCTGTGGCTGGAGGAGGAGCTATGGAGTTTTCTCTGGCTCGGACTGGGGTTGTGCGATTTTCAGAGTGCTGCTCACAGAGAGGGGACTGGACTTATGAAAAACTTTGAATAAATACCCTTGTCTATGCAGAAATGGGCTGCTGGCTTCTTTGTGGGGACAAAATGTCCTTTTTCCTCCTAAGGAAAGGAGGAGGGGAGGACCCGGGGCAAATGAAGAAAGGCCCAGAAGCTGGGGTTTGGCTCTGAAACTGCAGTTCCTCCCCCATTCTCCCTCCCTCTTTGCTGTGTGTTGTGTTGTGTTGTGTTGTGGTGTGTGTGTGTGTGTGTGTGTAAGAGAGAAATGCTTTCGTAGCCACAATTCCACAACTCCATCCCTGACCCCCATTGAGATGACCCAACCATAGTACAGGTGTGTCCACAGGTTGACTTATTCCAGAAAGTCACAAAAAGGAACCAGTTCAGAAAACACACACTTCATTTTTCCTTGACTGATGGGGGTGGATAAGGAAGACACTGAGGCCAGTGTGTATCCCAGGAGTCTGTGCAAGAAGGCCTGTGTGGAAGTTTGAACTCAGATGTCTCTGCTCTGGGCCTGGTCCATTGAGTGTCTTTGACCAGAGGTCTCAGAGTAAAATGTTGCTGTAAGGAATCTGGGCACCAACAAGTTAATTTTGGGAAGCATCTGTGGGCATGCCAGCAGGAAATCAGGAAGTAGGGCCTGCCAGGTTGTGACTAGGTCCCATACGTTTCCATTCATAACTGCTCCCATGGGTCTTTGCCAGGCTCCTGCCCCTGCTGCATCTTTATGAGGTTCCTTAGGTTTTGTGTAGACAACAAAGGCTGCTGCCCTAATTACCCCTGACCCTGACCCTAGGGCTGCAGTTTCTCCTGGTGACTGCTGGATCCTCTCAGCAGGATACCGTGGCCTCTGCCCGGGCACTCTCTGGAGGGATCTTTGTCCTGAAGAGCCCCTGAGGCTGGGGTGGTGGCAGCCTGCCTGAATGCTTAAAACCTGGGCTCAGAGCTCCAGCCTTGAGACTGAGGTTAGGCCCTCCCTCTGGAGTGGAGGGAAGAATCACACAGCAATCCTACCACACACTCTAGAGAAGGGGAGATGAAAAGGTGTCCGGAGACTAGCCTGCTGGCTATTCTCTGCCTAGAAGTTGACTGAGCCTCAGTCTCCTGTTCTGAAAAATGAGTTAAAGCACAGAACTCATCCCACATGGTTGCTGGGAGAATGAGGCAGATGCGGACACCAGGTCCCCTGCAGGCTAGGCAGGCCCTAATGCAGGGTGGATAAACCTCAGAGGGGCTAGATTGAGGGTAGGGGGGTGCCGGAAACGTTTCCTAGAAATTGCTATCTACATTTACCTCCCTGATCGATGACCCTGAGTTGCATGCTGAGTTGAATACCTTCTGGGGAGCCACACCTGATCCTGACTTTGGGCTTGAGATGCTGAGGCCCCTCCCAACCACAGACTCATTTTTCCTTAAAGATGGTGGAGTTTTAAGTCCTGATACTTGTAGTGGGGCTTAATCTTACAATGGCTGTTGCTAGCCCTACTGACAATAGCCTGTTAGGAGTGGGGAACGGTCTATTCAGGGGGATCCCTGTCATTGGCCTTTGGGTGCTAGGCTGGCCTCTTAACACTTTCCTTGTACTGGGCATGACCTAGAAGGGGTTTCATGATGAGGGTGGGGTCAGATTAGGGACCCAGGACTGATGAACTTAGTGAAAGTCCACGGAGTGAAGACAGTGACCCTGAAACCTGCAAGTGTGCAAGATACTCTCAGTTTTTGTCCAGCAAGGACAGGAAGACCAGCCCAAAGAAATAACTGCCCACCAGCCATTGGCTGCCTGCCAAGCACATGGGGATGGGAGTGATCACGGCCCTGCCTTTGCATGGTACTTGGTTGATCTAGAAGCATTCTCCAAATTTATTTGACCCCAGTAGCAACAGTGTCAGTTAGCTACTTTATGGAATTACTTCCATTTAACAGAGAAGAAAACCAAGGCTCAGAGAGGTCAAGAGGCTGTGGCTAAGCCAGGATTCAACTCCAGGAATAGGGGTGAGGTGATGGGACGGGGTTAAGCAGCAGTTGTTCTCAGGAAGGGTTGCAGGTGGGCCTCCCTGCATCTGGCAGCACACGGTCTACGCCCCCAGCAGCTGTGCCTCATTTTTTTTCTGGCCCAGTGCCGTTTGTCATTTAGGTAGAGCCTCAGATGCTGTGCTGGCCGGGCGTTTGTGTGCACCGGCTTCAGCCCAGCATGGCCCCA